CAGAAGCACCACTAAAGCTACTGTCATTGCTTTTTAAAACACAGAAGTCTTGCACGCAACCCTCTTTCTTTTCAGCACATTTCTGTCACACCCGCATCAATTTCCCGATGAGCTTGCAGAAGCATCTGTCTTTGCAGAACTTCAGCTTACAATCCTGTAATTAATTTGTTCAGAGACTGCATGTTTAGAAGTAACAGCTCTTTACACTAGAGAGGAAGAGGATCTAATTTCCAAGAATAATTGTTATCTTAGTTTTCTTTATTATATTTGTGCTTTAGAAAAATCCACGATTTCTCTTCTGCGTAACCTCCTCAACTTTTACTGATTGCTGTACCCTGTATACTGCAAGCTATATTGTTTGGTTATGGTTTTTGTTGTAAAGCAATAGATGAGGAGTTCAGCATGTCTGTAATTCTAAAGTTTCTGAATTCTAAAATTTCTCAGTGCTGTCTGCCTACACATAGGAAGAGAACCCAGAAGATCTTTACCACATCAATATCTTAATAAATATTCCTCTGAATCATGAATGACTGCCATATGCAGGGATGAATCATGTGAAAGCTTTGTAGTGTCCCTTGAATTCTGAAGACCTCCACAGAAAAGAAACTGCTATCCAGCTGCACATCCCAAAATACACAGACCATTCCCCCCAGAAGCAGTTCCTTCCCTGAGGAGATGCATTGTAACTCACATCTTTCGGGGAGACTGGAAATTGAGTTCAGATTCCTGTGCCCATTATTGACTTCGATGGGTCAAGTATATCAAAGACATCAAGCTTTAACCCTAACTGGGAAAGTGGGAAGAGGTCTGGGGAAGAAATACATGCAAATTTAGGCTCCTTTACTTGCCTAGTATAATTGCTGTGTGGGAAACATTCCACAATTCTGTGCAGAGATGTAATTTTAAAAGCTTGCACTCCTTTGACCATTCTGTTATTGAAAGTTACTTTGAGTTCTAAAATATGTATTCTAAGGTGAGCTTTTACAGACAAATTAAGCAGCAACTTGTGACAAAGCAGTTATCATCAGGAGATAATTGACCTTATTTGAGAGTTAAGCATCCTGAGGCAAAGTAGAGTGTGCTTAATCCTGGCAGGTTAATTATCCAGTGATTATGGTAGCTTGGAAGGTATTATTGCTAAGAACCATTTGCAAAATGACACTATGAAAAAAAACTTAATTTAATAAAAATTAAAAGCAATGACAATAATCAAGTTCTCCAGTCATGTATTGCTAGATAATGACTGCAGAATGGCCCTAATTGGTTAGCAGCAATGAACATATAATTATTCCTATTCTGAATGTTCTGTACTAAATTTATTGTATGAAGTACAGTTAATAAGTATCAAAGATCCAAGACAAGATGTTTGGCTAGTTATAAAAGGGATTTAAACAAATGATCAAATCACCAGTGGTCACTGAGATCATGCTGAAACTGATACATGTACTGAGCTGTTATGACAGCATTCAGTGTCTCCACTGCAGTTAAGGCCATGCTGGCATTTACATTCTAAACTAGAACATTTATTCTGAGAGGTTTATAACTTGCCCATTTTAATTACCATCTGGCTGAAATAACCAATCTCCATTCAGATGTAAATTTTTAAGTAGAAGATGTAATTTAAAATCACTTTGCCAATTGTTTTTAGTTAAGGAATGGCAGCAATTTGGAATTTTGCTGCTCTTGGATGTTTTTGTATTACTCAAAAAATAAACAGCTCAGTGCTTAACAATGAAATTGTATTGGTCTATAATGTGGAGTGAAGATAAATATAGGGAAGAATAAAAATCATGTCTGAGAGTATTGTTTGTACTAATAAAGTAACAACCACATCACTTAGTATGCCTTGCTTATATGTTAACTTATGCACTTTCAGTATTTGACTAAACTAGCAAAACTGATGGAAAATGTAGCAAGAAGCAAAAGGAAGTCACAGTACATGGGCAAAAATGTGGTGTTGGCTAGCTGAAGTGGTTCATTGCCCATAAAGGCATACACAAACACACACACACAGAAAAAAATCCTGAATGTGCTTGTAGATGAAATGAATATAGGAGGGTAAAAAAAAAAAAAAAAAAGAAGGAAACTACTAGAAGGCAGAACATGTCAGAATGAGCTTCTCTTGAGTTTTGCAACTACTCTTTACCACAAACCATATGCACAGAGCAGAAATACTGACAATCACAAGATACAGCAGCTACTAAAAACTAGAAGTGCACCATGCCAAGAGCATGGTTTGAAGTCACACAGAAAGACAACACTGCAAATAGCATTTCAACAACTCAAAAGCAGCAATGGCCAGCTCATATAGCAGAAAGCCATATAAGCTTATATAGGAGAAAGCAAAGACTGAAAAATGACCAGGGTTTCAACTGATTGGTATTAAGTAACAAAGCATAAGAGGCTGGTACTCTGAAGTGTGTGTATATATCTCTCTCTATATCTATTGTACTGCCAAGTTTAAGGATGATCACTGAAGTTTAAGTAGTCTCATTTACCCTGAAAGATACCTTCAGAAACTATACACAGAAAATGCAGGGAGTCTCTCAGCTTTAATACACACAATAGTCCTATACAATATTTTATGACAGAAGGTGAATAATACCATAGCAAAGTGAAATAGCAGGGGAAATTAAGGTAGTCTGAATAGAATTTCTAAAATTAGAATGTTGCCAGTATGGTGGACTATGACTTATAAAGTACACAAATGCACAAAAAGCAACAACCTATGTTTTATCTTCTGAAAAACAGCACCTAATGAACCACTGTGATCTGAATTCTCCTGATAGGTTGATGGGGCAATATTTATATAAAAGACCAGCAAGGTTTAATTGCAGAAGTTTCTATGAAACCCTTCCACCCCAACATTGACTAGACTTGTGTCCTGGTTTAACCCCAGCCAGCAACTAAGCACCACGCAGCCGCTCGCTCACTCCCCCTGCCACGGTGGGATCGGGGAGAGCATC